GCTGTGTCGTGTACACGGACGTACATATGTATGTACGTACGGACGGACGGAAGTGACGTTAGCCAAGCCATGAAAAATCAACTCGATATAAAAAAAAACTCGATGATATTTTTTCTTAAGTATGGAGCTCCGCTATAAGAACAATAAAATCTCTTTCCTCTTTGGAATTGAATTATTTCTCATGTAAAACGATTGTATTGTCTCTGCCATTTACATGTTTGCCGTCACGTGATGGTGCAAAGCCTATATTGGATCACAAGATGTAGACTGAACACAATGTTAGACGACTACGGAAAAAAGATATTGACATTGAATTGACTTTATAATTTACATTTATTACACATATGTACATTTTTTACACATATGTACATATATTATACATTTAGTTATACATTTCAGTTTTAAAAAGTGCCACGGTCTCCTTTCTTTTTCGCAAGACACTGTTAGGATTTAAAAAATCATTAATTCACTTGATTTCTGTCCAAGAAAAAAAAAAATTATAATGAAAGAAATAAAAAGAGTGCAATCCCGTGTAACCCACCAGTTCTGACGCATCTCCGCGCGCTAAGTGCTGCTATATCCTGCGACCGTCTTTCTTTCCTTAGATAAATTTAATAACGAAATAAATTAAGTAACTATATAATACGAATAAAACAGCTTTTTCCGTGCTCCGTTTAGTTATAAAGCACTTAGGAAGCGCCGTAAGCACTCAAGAAATGCGAGAAGCACTGTCCTAGGCTCACAAACGATTCATAGGGATACTTTAAGGGAAAAGCAAAGCTATTTTATTAGCCTTATCGATGCTTTTATGGACAGTGATTATGATAAATTTTATTTGTTTTTTTTAAACCATCTCTACTACAAAGATGTTCTTCCTGAATAAAGTTAATGTTATATAAATACCATTTTACTTTTGACCCGTATGACCTACATGTAGCTGTTTATCTTCCCGCTATTGCTGAGACATCCATTTCTAAGTTTATATATTTATAAAAAAATGATTGTACTTGTTAGAAACAGTTATACTTATGTCCAGTATTATTGTGGTTAGCTACAATATGACAAATAAATCAAATATAGAGGCAGGCAATAGATAAACAATACAGTCAATTCAAAAAATGTTGTCGTCGACCAACTCTAGCCTACGCGACTGGACCGAAAGGAACTCTGGGTAGCAATCATTGTAGCCGAGTTGATTCTATGATTTTATCTGACTAGTTATGCCTGGTTTAAAGCATGAACCTTCGTAGGCAAGCGGGAAGTGTCGAAGAAGACGTTTTTTTAATGCCTTCATATTTTCGAAATTGTGAACTGAATCATAACTACTTTGTTTTTCTTTCCCTAAACCCAATTACATGCATTTTATGGATTGTTTCTCGCCATTATTATCTTATTACTAGCGGGACAATTAATTCAGAACGAATATTTAACCGCTTCATGGATTTTTACCCATATTCCTTTCGGTCCAGTCGCGTAGGCTTGAGCCGGTCGACGACAACGTTTTTTGAATTGACTGTATACAGCGACCATGAATCAGTACCCTCCATGCCTACTCGCAGCACTTTACTTGCAATATGCAACAGATAGCCTATAAATAAAAGCAGGTCTTAGCGGCAAATTTATAGCACTAACCATAATACTCAACAGTGTACAGAAACGGCGTTGCCATGGAAACGGGTTCGGTTTCAAGGGTCTTGATTTTCATAAGGGAGAGGTCTTTAACTGAAGTTGTTTCCAGGTTAGCACTATCGCTATTATGGTTAGTACTATTATTGTTCAAAGTTTTATCTTGGAATCTGCTTTATATTGCTAGAGGTATTTTTCCTTTATTTATCTGCTGGAATCTGAATGCAGTAAATGGTCATAAATGACGTCAAATTCGAAAAAATAGATAT